GATCTTCAAACCATCACTCTTGTCCTGTCCCAACAGGTCCTGCTCAAAAATCCAATCCCTGCTTTCTGACAGGGCCCTTGAAGTCCTGCAAGGCCCCCAGAAGGTCTCCTTGGAGCCTTCTCCTCTCCAGGCTGAAGAACCCCAACGCTCTCAGCCTTTCCACACCCTGGGGCAGAGGTGAGGAGCAGCCCTGGAGCCCTCAGGGTGGAAGGAAACGAAACCCTGGTCCAAAAAGACCAACTTTGGGAGGAAGAATTTGGGTGCTGCCATTCCGAGGACCAAATGAAGAAAACAGGAGCTAGGGTGAGAAGATGAGAAGCTGGGTGAGAGACAACCCTGGCCAAGCCCCAAGCTCTTCTTGGGCCTGTGATCAAGGAGGAAGTGGAGCACAGGTCACGGGGCTGAAGGAATCCTGCAGGAGAGGACAGAAAAACAAAACCAGTGCCAGAAAGGTCAAAGCTCCAGGAGAGGGGAAGGCAACGAGTTCAGGGCTCAGCAGAGGGGCTGAAGAACTTGCTTTTCAGGAGGAACAACTGGCAGAGGACACCAAGAACCTTGGGCTCCTGGGCACTGACGTTGATGAGCAGCAAGAAAAAATGGGGATGATGATTAGGAATTAAAAAATCAGCTTATTTTAGGAGCTGAGGACTTCAAGGAAGCAGGACCTGCCTTGGGTTCCTGCCAGGGATGGTGGAGAAGCTGCTAAGAGAGAAGGAAAACACCTCCTGCAGTGCCAGAGAGAAGATAAGCAACGACCAGTGTAAATCTGTCAAGCTCAAGTCAGGTCTGGCTGGTTTGAATCCCTCCTGCAAGAGAAGAAAGAGGCCTCGGGCGAAGCCCTGGAGATGACACCTCCTCCTGCTCCCTCCCAGCTTTGTCTCTGGTTTTCCAGCCCATAATCACATCGTTGCTGTAACTTTTGTTCTCCAAGTTGACTTCCTTGACCATAAATCCCGAGGAGGAAGAGCTGGACCAGCCCTTACATAAAATGTGTGTTCTAGATAGCAGCCAGCCAAGATCCACATCACCTCTGACGAACCCAAGGAGGAGATGGGAATGAAGAATGGCCAGATGGGCAGGAAACCACCTCCAGGGAGAGGCAGCAGGACCAGACACCACGTGGGGTTGCTGCTGATGTTCTTCAGGATGGCCAAAGGATGTCAGGTGGAGAAAGGTCTTGGCCCAGCAAGCAGGAGAAGAGCTCTGGAGAACTGGAGGGACAGGAGCAGGATGAAGCTCGACAGGAGGACAGGGGAAGGAGCTCCTCGAGTGGCTCCTCTGAGCTGCCTGAAGACATCTGCCAACAATTCTTTGCCAGAAGCCAGCCCTGGCTGAGGAAACCCTCCAGATGTTTGCCACCCACACAGAGGGTTGAGGGAAGGACAAGAGTGGTTGCTGATCATCATGCTCCTCCCAGGTGAGCACCTCAACCTTTAAAAACTTCTTTTGTGGACTTCTTGTTTCCTGTTTTGTCTGAAACCAGAGAAGTTTTCACCCATTTTATCCTCCTCTGAAAGGCAGCAAGAACAGAGAGCCACCAAAACCCAACCAGATGGGGCACAGAAGCCTGAATGTGGCATCTCCTGGAGAAACTCACTGAATTCACTCTGGGTTTGCCAGTTCGAGGTGGAGCTTCCCCAAGGGGTCCTACCCCCCAGCCTTGGCTCACCTCCAGCCTCCAGATGCCACCAGGGAGCTCGGGGGGACCTGATCCTTGGGGCACAGTCCTGCAGGACGCCAGCCTCCGTCGGACCTGCCTCATGGCTCTCCTGAGCTGTTGTGGGAGGAGACAGGAGAGGAGAAGAGGTCACTGGTGGCTTTCCACAGGGCTTACACCAAGGAGCTGAGCTGCAGAGGAGAGATCTTCCAAACTCAACCCACTCCCACCAAAGGGGCTTTAGGGGGGGGATCAACTCATCACAAAGCTTTAAAAAGTCCCTAAAATGGGTTTTTTCTCCAAGGTTTTCCACGCTCCTGGTCTGCAGGAGACAGGCTGTGATGAGGTGGCACCACCTAGTGGTGTCCAGCCTGGCGAGTCAGCACCTCCACCAGCCAGGACTTCCTCCTCCTCTCTCCCTCTCTGAGCCTCAAACCATCCCCCCTTGTCCTGTCCCACCAGCCCCTGCTCAAAACTCTGTCCCCAGCTTTCTGACAGGCCCCTTGAAGTCCTGGCAGGTGACAAGAAGGTCTCCTCAGACCCTTCCCCAGGTGGCTGCTCTCCAGCCTGTGCTGACACCAGGTTGTCCCAACCCAGGTCCCATGAACCTCACGGGGTTCCAGCCCCTCCAGGTCCCTCTGGGTGGCACCTGCAAACGTGCTGAGGGTGCCTCGACCCCACTAATGTCCCTGAGGAAGATGTCCCCCTGTGGACCTCTGAGGCCACCACTCAAGTCATGGTTCATCCTAATAAAACCCCTGTTGGGGTTGGGCTGTAGAAGGTGGCAGGAGGACAACTGGGAGGGCCCAGCGTGGGCTGAGGAGCACTCACCTCAGCAGCCTGCTGCTGGAAGGGCTGGGTTTGGGTCCCATCCCACCAGGCTGGGCCACCTCCAGCACCAGGGCCACCGATGACGGGCTGCTGGTGGCTCCTGAAGAGGCAAATGTTCCTCCTGGGGGGCAAGTGCTGCGTGGCCACGGAGCTCTCCCGCTCTGCCTGCCAGGAGAAGCCACCTCTGAACCCCCAAATCCTCCCCTGGGGCTGGGCTGGGGCCACCTGGGGATGTCTCCTTGGAGGGGTGGTTTTGTTCTCCCTGTCTAGATGGGCTGAAGGCATCTGGGGGGTGCTGCCAGTGGAGGTTCCTGAGGAGACCCCGACTCGACCGTGGCTCTGGAAAGAGCCCGGGCACCCCAAAATTGCTGATGTGTTCTCAGTGCATGGCTGGTTTCTGGCAAGGCTTCCTGGGCAGTGTTTGAAAGGATCAAACGTGGAACCAGAGAATCGTTTGGGTTGGGAGAGACCTTGAAGGTCATCAGCTCCAAGCACTGCCCCAGGTCACCACCAACCACGTCCCTCACCCCACACCTCCAGGGCCTGGGAACCCCTCCAGGGGTGGGGACTCCACCACTGCCCTGGGCAACCATTTGGGGTTAGAACTCAACCCTCAGCTCCAACCTCAACCTCCCCTGGGGCAACCTGAGGTCAGATCCTCTCCTCCTGTCACTTGTTCTTTGGGAGAAGCAGCTCCAAGCTCACTCCCAGCTCCACAGCAGCCAGAGCTTGGTTCTTCTGCTGCCCAGGAGACCTTTCCCACGTGGAAAGAGGACTTACTGCTTCATAGGACTTCTGCAGCTGCTGCTTCCTCCTCAGCTGGACCTGCTGGTTCACCCGCTGCTTCACCTGCCCCTGGAAGCGCCTCAGCCTGGCCAGCTTCTGCTGCTGCTCCTGCAGCTCCTCCTCCACCCGGGACACCAGCGCCTGCAGGAGGGGGAAGGTCTCAGGGGGGTGCTGGCTCAGTGCTGGGGCCACACCCCACACCTTCACCCACGCTCTGGGGGAGGGGGCTGAGGTGCCCTC